ATTGCAACAACTCGAATTGACTTCAAGCTCTGTGAGAGTTTTGTTTTTCTGAAAGGAATCGAACCTGCATACTTTTGCGTTGAAGATTTTTGCTCTGTTGTTAACCCACTCAGTCACAGTGAACTTAGTCTCCCTCAGTACAAATTCCCATACACTCCAGTGAGTTTCTAGCCTAGTCTATCTGAGAATTGAAAGAGATCAAAGACATCACTTACAAAAGCCTCCCCCAAAAGAACTAAAAGAATTCCTCTTTGTGCCTCTGGATAAGAAAAAAATAAAAAAAAGAAGCCGAGAACTTTTTTTTATTTTGTTGTTGTTGTCGCTTATTGTCAATAGCACAGCATAAAGGAGAGACGAGAATGTTGAATAAAATCAAATTGAATGAGAAATCGATAGAATAAATGCAAAGAATGTTTACAACAAAAAAATAAGTACTGAAAGAAAGCTTTTAGGTAGCATGACTAGAATGAATTTAGTTTTTTGCTTCATTTCTTTCCCTTTTTTTTCTATAAATCATTTGAATTGGATTAAAGTGGTGATCAAGATTTAATCTTATGAGATTCGATTTTTTTCTTCCTCTTGATGCTTTGATGTCTTGCTGGAATCATTTAGTAGATTATTTTCAGATTTTTTTTGTGAAGTTTTTTTTTTATCCTTTGAAAATCAAGCAAATTGAATTGAACTTTTATGCAGATTGAAGATGTAGGAGTGAAAACTTTTTGATCATGACATTTATTGTTGTGCATGCTGTTTGATGTTACATTTTGGGATTTAGATACTTGATTAACATTTTTGACCTATTGAATTATTTAGGGGTCGTTCACTTATGACGGCCAACCTGATTTTTAGACCCCCCCCCCTCTGTCACAAAAATTCTATAGAAAAAAAATTTCTATCGTTTGAACTGTCACAAAATCTTAGACCCCCCTCCCCCCCCCTAAATGTTGGACGTCATAAGTGAACGGCTCCTTATCAATGATGTGAACTTGAAGATAGAATTTTGTATATTCTGAAAGGTGATGTTGATGACTATGGGGTAGACTATGGTCGTTAACTGTTCGAGAAGGGAGACTGGCCCTTTGAAAGGAGGTTAGAAATTTTTTCATTTATGTTTCAATCTCAAAAGAGGGATGTAGGCCCACTTGAACCCATCCCTAGGCACATCTATGCAAGTTTTCATCCCATAGTCATTTTCCTAGGCATATCCTTACGATAAGGTTTATTATAGCTAAGATAAAACTGAAAAACTAGCTTGGTCTCAAAATAATGAACAAAGGGTGAGTTTTAAGGGGCACAAGGGCACCGAACCTTAATAACAGTCATATAGGACATCGATTTTCTATGCTACAGGAAGGTACCTGAGGTTGCCCTAGAAATCAACCTTAGAGACTCAGTGTGCCAGCTGATAAACTTATTCATATAAGTCGCAAATCCTTAGATCACCAATTACGTCCCAAACCCTCCAAAAACCTTCTTGTCAATCGAAACCATTTTTTCCACTGCATTACACGCAATTTCTATCGAAAAAAAAAATATACTTTATGTTCTAAAGGTAGCTAATGCCTACCCACACACAACACGAGCGTACAAATACTTTTGTAATCTATAGAAAAAAGTTCTATTATCCTTCCTAGAATCACGGTTAATTGTAAACACTTTCTCAACAATGGGGTAATGCTGTGCCTACACAGAAAAAAATAATGTCAAGTTACGAAATGAATAGAGATGGAACAATAGCTGAATGCCTCAAGAATGGAAACTTTTTAATATTAAATATTAATTTGATTAGATTGAGGTTTAAAAATTCTGAGCTAGACTGGGCTAGATGAATTTGTCTGACCTGGAGCATAGCTTGCTGCTAAATTGAGTCAAAATAACTATATTCCCAACATCACAATACCATGCATGACTACGTTTGATGTATTACCAGTAAATTTTATGTGTGCGACTACATCACTTTATCAGCTATAGTCACTCAATCAATATAGATAAATTGCCAATTCTATGAGCACAAATTAATGTCTCTGCTCATAAAATTCAATGACTCAGACGAGCTGAATGTCATAAAAGTCATCGCATCATGCGTTAATCAAGCATCAGAACGAGTGAGTATTATACAATCAGATTCAATAAAATTCACAAAAAAACGAAATTTTATTTTCAGCAATAAAGTAAATCATGCAATCAATTTAATTACGAATAGAAATGAATTTTTTTCCTCGTACCTTCATAGCACGTGCGTGGTATTCGTATCTGAAAACCATAAAAAAGTGATGAGGAAAGGAATCCCGCACAAGAAAGGTCAGAGGAAATGATGTTTAGAGGTTTTGTGAGTGGATTTGAGGTTGGTGAATAAAAGCGCAGTTTTTGTAGAGGGTTTAATGGGATTTAAGGGAGTTCGAGATGTTTAAAAGTGAAACTGGAAGTTTGATAGAGATTCAAAGAGGTACAAAAGGGTTGAAGGAGGTTTAAGGAAGTTCAAGGAGATTCAAAAGGATCAAGGAGGTTCAAGAAGGTTAAAGGAGACTCAAGGGGGTTCAGGGAGTTTTAAGGAGGTTCAAGGAGATTAAAGGAGGTTTAATTAGATGCAAGAAAGTTCAAGAAGGATGAAGAAGGTTCAGGAAGGTTCAAGAAAGTTAAAGGATGTTCAAGGAGGTTCAAGGAGGTTCAAATACGTTTAAGGGGGCCTTTAATTGGCTTTAAAATGTTCAAAAGGCTCTCGGACCATCAATTAGGGGTTCAAACATGGTTAAAAGAACCCAAGAGCTTTCATACGAGTTCGAGAAGATCTGAGTAGTACAAGGGGATCTCAAGAAAGCTTTAGAAGGTCCAGAAAGGTTCGAAGGTATTCAAGAAAGCTTTCCAAATTTGAAAAATCTAGATCTGAACTTGGTATTCCTCTTTTTATCAAGCATATATCCAGTTCTTTGTTGATTTGGGTTTGACAGTGTTATAGAGGATTCAAAATAGTTCGTAGGAGTTCAAGAAAATTTATGGAGGTTCAATTGAGCTTTTTGGGCATTCATGGGATTCAGAATAGTTCAAAGGAATAAAACTGGGTTCAAGGTGGTTCAAGAGGGCCCAAGAAAATATAAAGAGATTTAAGGAGCGTCCTGTCGTTTTATAGACAAACAGGTTAGATGCATGGCAGCTTCAGTTTGCTTAACATTCCAAAGAATGATTTAAAATCTCTCTCGATCAAGATATTACAGCAATAGTCCTACAATGACATCCTTAAAATCTCCATAAAAATTACTCAACGCTCTAATTCTCATCCATAATTACATCCAACACTCCGTAAACAGTATCCACTATTTTTTTTTATTTAAATTATTCACGGACAATCAACAATCTCCACCATCTCATTTCCTACACACAAAAACGCTACACAACCCAAAAAGAACAAGAAGACCACCATCACCGCCAACATGATGATGATGATGAGGTAAAATAAGCAGAAGAAAATTCATGCAGCACTCACACAAAAAGTAAGTACGAAAGCGAGAAAATTTTTTCTTCCTCTTTCAGTTCCTCAATCACATGAGATGTAGGGATAGGTTAGGTAAGTATTTCAAACATCATCATCATCATCAAGAGTCGGAAAGAGCGAGTGAGTTGCGGGGCATAAGAAGAAGTACAAAAAAAAAGTATAAAAAATGGAATCTTTCCGCTATTTACATAAGAGTAAGTGTAAGAAGCTGCTGATAACAACGACAAGAATGTGTGTCAGGAATCGCTTGAAGCTAAAAACATCGAACGATTCGGGAGGAAGAAAAGCTCAGAATTCTTTTTAATTGCTTCTCAACGAAGCGTAGATTTTAATCGCAAATTTCCTCCCCGTGTTGATAAAATGTTTACAATTCGTGCTTTTATTGCACAATTGAGTGGAGTTAGGTGGGGTTTTTTGTGAGTAATGTGTATTGAGACATGTGAATTTTATAAAACCTCTTTCGTGTGGTATGAAATGAATGTCCTGTGAATGTCTTATCTAAGAAGGGGTGCCTTATCTATTGAGGGAGTGTCTTATCTATTGAGGGGGGTGTTTTATCTATTGAGGGGGTGTCTTATGTATTTAGGGGGTGTCTTATCTATTGAGGGGGTGTCTTATCTATTGAGGGGGTGTCTTATGTATTTAGGGGGTGTCTTATCTATTGAGGGGGTGTCTTATCAATTGAGGGGGTGTCTCATTTGTCGAAGGGGTTTTGCCTCAAAAAAGAGGTGTCAGACCTCTCCAAAATGACCATCTGGTCAGAATGTGAGGTGTCTTGCCTCTTATATGGGTATCAGAATTTTTTTCGGTCATTTTAATTTTTTATGAAGCTTCCTGATTTTTTTTCAATTATAAATTTCAATATCTAAGGTGTTCGTACCAATATCCTTACCACAAATATGTCACTAACCATTATTTGAGTAGCAAAACTTCAAATCTTAGACATCATTGACTCACAAAACCTCATCAGATGTGATTTGAACCTTAAAAAGACACACATTCACAATCAACATCTGTTTACATTTGGAATTAAAAAAGAAGTTTTGAAAAAGAAAAAAAAACTTGCGGTTTTCAATATTTTTTTTCTACTTCCGCAATATTTCTGGAATTTTGGAAAATTGGAAGTATTCGGCATGGAACGACTTCCCGCGCATGCTCAAATGATTTGTTATTCGCCGAAAAACGTGACACTCATTCATAAATTTGTAAAATAATTTCCACATTCAGTTGGGAAAAATGCATTTGGAAGTGATTCTCTCGCTATAAAGACAGCGATTTTCGAATATTTACGCTCAGTTCCCGTTGTCGTTTAAACGTGTTAAGGCAAAGAAATTTTTTTTTCAAAAAAAATTATGAGAACAATTTTTTAATCGCGTGCGAATTCTTTATTTATTGTCAAAGTGAAAAAAATATGAAAGAAAAAAATTCGAAGTGAAGAAAAAAATTATTTTTAAGGACAATAAATCATGAAAGGATGTGAAATAAATTTATTGTCGCACCAAAAATAGACCGAGATAAAAAAAAAAGAGATAAGAAAATTTAAATAAATTTTCCATAAACGCTTGCGAATAAATAAACAAATGGAATTTTGCATGAAAAAGACACGAAATAAAATATTTTCATTGTTATATAATATTTCATGTAAACAGTCATTAAGCAAAGGAAAGTGAGGCGCGTTCGGAAAATATTTTGATTTTTTTAAAAAATCCACAAAAAAAAACAACAATTTTTTTAAAAAAATAATTTTTCGACAATTTTTTTTGTTTCCTGTTTAATATTAAAGTCAGTGACAGAATGTATAAGTTTTGGATAATTGGATTAGTATTAGCAATGCTCGAAGGTAAATTTTCATCTCATCTTGATTGTCTCCTTTTGTTCTATTTCCTCCCCTTCACAAAATTTTAATTCTCATTGTCATCACATTCTTCCTTCATTTGGATTTGAGACATATACACAGTATGTCCTCACACTACCTCATTATACACTCGCGCTACATGCATGCGGAGAAAAGAAATTGAAAGTTTCTTTCTCGCTTTAAACCTTGACATGTGATGTATATACGGCTATGAGCATATCAAACAGCAGGAATCTGAGGAAATGAACTTTAATCAGATTTTCGAATTTGAATTTAATTTGCAATTTAAATTTTTTTCTTCTTTCGTATGTTCCTTTTTGTGAGGAGGGGACGATAAGATGTGATGTGGTTTTATTAAAAGTTGGAGGACAATAGTGTTTGATTTTGTGAATTAAGAGAGTGGATATAGAATTATTGAGGGTCGATGGGGGGGTTTCAGAGGTCTGTGAAGGTCTCTAGAGGTCTGTGGAGGTCTCTAGAGGTCTGTGGAGGTCTCTAGAGGTCTATAGAGGTCTCGAAGGGCCAATGGTGGTCGATTTTTAAGATTTGCTCTAGCTTTTGACACTGGTTAGCGAATATGGCAAGGATATATGATAGAAACCGAAAAAACTATTGCAATAGCTACTGTTTATCTAAGAAACAGGCATAATTAGTGAAACCGACTTAGTTTAAAATTAAAAAATCACTACATTAAGGTCAATTGACTAAAAGAATATTCAACTTGCTAGAACATATTGTACGTTAAGTCTACGAATCATTTTCATTTGGAAATACAAAAATTCTTAATCTTCAACTTTTGACAAGGCGCCTTAAAAAGAATAAGATGATTTTTTTTTTCTTCAAAAAAGAAAGTTTGAGGTCAATTTTAATTTTTTTTGAAGTCAATTTTTATCAAAATTATCAGTTTTTGTGTTAAAAAAAAGCAAATATTAATTAAAATTGTACACAGTCAAGTAAAACTGAGTCAGACACATTTAAGAAAATAGAAAAAATAAAATAGATATTCAGTCTACCTTAGAATTCAAAACATAGTGTTGCCATGAATAACATAGTAGGATTTTAAATAGATAAAGACAAGGCCTTGTCCCCCCTTAAACGTTTTGAACCGCAAGGCCTAAAACGCTTAAGAGGGGGACAATACCCTCCTGGCTATGCGCCTGATAAAGACATAAAAACTCATACTTCTTCAACATAAATCTATGAATACCTCCTACTGTGAACAGAGCCTACAAAAAAAATGGCTCAATTTTAAATAAAAATCAAAAAAAATCTTCAATAGACCTAATTTTAAATAATCCCCACTTCCTCGTTTTTTTCCATGAAAATAAAAACTTTTTTTTTGTTTTACAAAGAAAGAAAAATTTCTCATTCATACTTTATGGCATATATGAAATTTAAATGAACTAGCTGAGATTAAATGAACGAATGAAAGAGATTGTGAGGCATTAGAATATAAAGATTTTGATTAGAATACTAGAGAGATTGCTTCATTATCATAGCATGATTTTTTATTTTTTGTTGTCTGATAAGATATCCTTTGATCAGGTGCCTTCCGAGAATTTGAGCTTGAGATTTATTTTCTCTCTGTCGGAAGGTACTCGCTTTAATTAAAAAGAATAATTAATGAGGGTAGAGCAGAAAGGGAATTTTTGAAGGAGTTGAATTGATGGAAAAAATTGTGCAGTGGATGTTGTGACTTGAATTTGTGTTTTGAGTTTAAAAGTGATGTGTGGAAAAATTGAAAAATTCAAAAAAATTGAAAAATTCACAAAAAATTGAAAAATTCAAAAAAAAATTGAAAAATTCACAAAAAATTATAAAATTCACAAAAACCTGAAAAATTCACAAAAAATTGAAATATTCATAAAATTACCAAAATACGACTGTTATAGACTTAAAACTTGAAGTTGACACAGATTTTGTTTAATTGTATATTTAAAAAAAATTCAATTTTAAACAACCAAATTTTATACGAAATTCGAGTCGACCTTAAACTCAGCTAGGCCGTGGGTACAACCCCTCTAAGCCTAGCTAATACACCCCTCCGCAGATTAAACCAAACAAAAAAAAAAACATATTTTCAAAATTATATTCACATCAGCATCTTCTTATATAGATTAAATCAGATTAAATTTGAATAATTTTTCTTCCTCCTTCTTATTTCAATCAAATTTGGTTTTTCACATTTCAGCCTCACTCTTTCATCAAATGATGAGGAAGAGAATTTCAAATCATTATAATAAAAAATGGAAAATACCCCAAAGTGCTTTCGTTTCTGATGAATAAAAAAAAATATTTTTTTCTGATTATTTTTCCAAAAACGTTTACAACATGAATTCATGAAGTGCGATTTGAAAATTATTCTGTGAAAAAAAATTTGTTTGAGTGGATTTTGTGAAGAAATTTTAATTTTTTCGGGGTTATGTTTTTTTTTTGATGTTTTGATAAGTTTTGAAAGTAATTAATGTGATGTGGATGAATTTGAGGGGAGTAAAAAGGTGGGTTTTAATTGGTTTTGGATTTCCTGAGGGAATAAATGGAGCTAGATGTGAAAATATTCATGAATTTTGATATTATGTTAAGAATTCCATTTTTAATTCATAAACCATAATTTTTATGAATTTTTTAAGTTATTTAAAATAAAAAATTCAAATCATTCTCCTCAAAAAAAGTTTGAAAAAAGTTCTAGCTATGCCTGTGGTAAGGATTCAATTTTTCTAGTTTGAAGCTAAACTAAGCTAAAGCAAAGACTAAGACTAGTCCTAAGCTGAAAGCTGAAAGCTGAAATCTAAGAAAAATCTAGAAGTCGTATTAAGCTAAGACTTGGCCAAAACTGAAAGAATAAGCGATTCCATATAATACCCAGTCAACGATAAATCATGTTAGTGCAAGGTAACAGTAAAAATAAATTAACTTATATATGTGATTTAGCCATATTGTCATCTAATCCCGATCGTAGAAGCCCAGTGATAGGATCATTATGTTTAGAAATCATTGGACGTGGGTTCGAGTCCCACTCGGGATCCATTATTCGAAGTTGTTCATTTTTCAATAGTTTTGTCATCTAGAAGTTTGCTTCTTTCTTCTAGATGATTCAATAAAAACTAGGTTTAAGAAAAAACTAAAGCTAGCCTAGAGCTAGTTGAGATTATACTTAAACCTGGCTTAGAAAAAGACGTGACCCCACACAGCCAAAAAAAACAATCGAATTTCAAGAAATCGCGTAGAAACTTTTTAAAATAAATTAAAATATTGCACATAAATTTTCATAAACCAATAGATGCTGCAGATGCTAAAACACATCTAAAAATAAGCCATTTCTCCTCCCTCAAAATTTTAAAAATTCCAGCTCTAAAAACATCTGCCATAGCTAAAATCTCCACACACAAAACAGACATTCAACACTCAATTTTCATCCGCTTAACTTCTCAAGTTTTTTTTTTCATCCAGCCTTAACAGCAAAATTTCAAACGTCAGATATTCTCAGAAGGAAAATTTCATCACGAATAGGATTTAAAATATCCTGAAGTATTTTTTCATTCATTCATCCACAACATCTTCTTTCCATTTTCACATACGCTCGACTGTGTCTTAACAGTACGAAAAAATTTTACACTCGACTGAATCGCACATCAATCAAAAATTTCACCTCTAATCTCCGAAAGAAGCGTGTTCGAAATTTTAATCAGAAAAAAATATTTTTCAGTTCTAGAATTTTCCAAAAACCACAGAGTCTTAATAATTTCATCAATTTAATTAAATTGTAGCGTATATGTGCTGAATCACATGCATAGGAATTGTATCTATTGCTCATGCGACCGCAAAGTCTTAATCAAATATTCAGTAATCCTTCAAAAGTTTTATTATTCTTGGGAAACATTTTCCGTATGTAAGAGATATTTTAAGGATGTTAATAGTGTTGAATGAAGTTGGGTGTATATTTGAGGGAAAAAAGATTTTCTTTTTTGTCGTGATGGATGCGAAGAAGAAATAATTTTTTGTGTGGAAGTTTAAGTTAGAGGCTGATGATGGGTACTTTTGTGAAAATTGCTGTAATTTTTCATTCAATTTTAAAGCAGTTTTTTTGGGGGAGAAATTGAATTTTTTGTTTTAGTGGTATGAAGACGAGGAAGTAAGACTGTTGTCAGGGGTGTCAGACTTTTTTTTCCTCACACAATTCAATGATAATATCATCATTTAAGGCGCGTAGTCAGAGTGGGGGATGGGGGGAAGGGAGAAGGGGGGAAGGGGAAGATGGAAAAAGGGGAAGGGGGATTTGGTGCACAAATTAATTTATCACCCCATCACCTCCCCCTCTCCCCCCCCCCCATTTTTTGCCCCTATCTCAAATTTTTTCACGGCACACGGGTTGGCCATCACTGTTCCAATTAATGACATCTTATCAATTATGAAATCTACTTGGAGACGCTCTTATCAAAATAATCAAAACTAATCAAAAACGACCAAAAACGATCAAAAACCATCAAAATCCGATTTATCAGTTGCAAACCCCTGAAAACTACAACAAAAAAACTTACACAAATCTCAAGCAATCTCCCAAAAAGTCACCAAACAATCTTGGGTAAGGTAAATATTCTTCAGTAAGTCAGAAAGACTTCTAAACAGTTTGTAGAGCAATTAAGGTGGAAATTTGTAAATCTGTTGACAAAAAGTTTGTAATTTGATATTGTAGATGTATAAACGATGATAATGTCTTCTTCCTACCTCAAAATACATGAGAAAATACGACAAAAAAAGGTATAATTTAATTTGAACTTCTCTATAGTGATATAGAGGCTGAAAAGTTGCTAATACTATTGTAAAAAGGATAATTTATTGACTTTATATTCTAGTCTTAAAATTCATTTAAATTTTTAATGACTCGAGGGAGATGAACGGTGTTGAAATTGAGGCTTTTTGAAAACTTTGTCAATTCCTATCCATGGCCTCATCTATAATTCATCCTAAATTACAATCAACTATGA